TGTAGATAAATGAGCGCACAAATTTTGATTGTTCATTCAGTATTATACTAAATATTTCTCCTAAGAAGTCCGTTGATTTACCATAGAAACAACCATAGAATGAAGAAAAAATTACATCTCGTTAATATTAATCGAATTTCATTTTACTTCATTGAATTAATGCATATAACCATCAATCAATGGACTGTTTATTGGAATTGCACGAGCTGGAACAAAGAAGGAGCATTACAAGAATCAATACGTACGGCAAAAAATAACACTATCTAATCTCATATTTTGCCCTTGAAGAATGATCAAATATACACACGTGACATTTTTCGCATGAAGGCTGTTATTTTTTTCTTTCTTCATTCTTCTTTCGATATTATCAGTGGCGAAATGTATATATGCATCAAAGATTTGTATCTTCAGTAGTAACTATTTGTCAAGTGCAAAATATATTGATATACCATGCAATCTGTTTGTTGGTCTTTCGTCCTCTTCGTAGCTCTTATGACAGTGGTGGACGGAGAGCGGATTGAGAACAGCGATATTCTATCGATTTCAAGTGGAACTTCATTTGGAAAATGTATTGGATATTGTCGTCAATCGATAACTATAACACCCAGTCCACCTCAAGTGACTGCTTCAAGAGAGGCAAACGGCAACCCAGCAGATTATCTACCAGTTCACGTCAAATTTCCCTTAAGTTCGAATGAATGGATCAATCTTGTCAATTTTGTAAACTTGGACACCTTTGAAAGATTAGATGGTAGAATTGGATGTCCTGATTGTGCAGATGGTGGAACAGAATGGGTGCAAGTCAATTGGGTAAATGGAAGTAAACGGGTAACATTCGAGAATGGACAAACAGTAAAAGGCATCGAAAGATTCGTCACAAAATTACGTCAATTGCGACAAGTTTATTTAAGTAAAATGTGAACTACGCTTCAGTAATTATTTTCAACAATAAATTTGCTAAAAGACTGCACGTTATTCGTTCTCATCACTTTGTCCAAAAGCATATCCTCTAAGGAAAATTCAAATCTCTTCGGGAACACGTAAAGATTTACGAAAAGATTTCCGATCTCTTCAAGGATTTTCGAAATATTTCCTCGAGAAGTTAAAGAGTATCCGCACTTGTTGAACCCCAAAAAAGTATAATGGAAAACCTAAATCGATTTTTGAATTTTCGTTTGACAACTTTAAAAAAATCCTCGTGATTTTCAAAAACCTCTACAATGTTTTAGAACAATATTTTAATTAGAGTTCAATAACTTTTCGAAAAAGTGTATTTGGTATCCAATTTTTCTTTCCTCATTCCCGTTTTCTCTCAGGTTCAGAGGCCTCAGAGAAAGAGAAACTATTCATACAGGGTGTGTATAGGGGTGGATGTGGATATGGGTGTGGGTGTGGATGGGTGTGAAGTGGAAATGAGGATGTGGCCGTGGGCGTAGATGGAATGGATACATACATCAATATCCACACGCACACCCACATCCACACCCGTAGAACAACTTTTTTCTGTTCATTTCATCACCGTTTTTATATATTATAAATAATAGCTTTACCTTGAAAATCCATCTTCTCTATCCAAAGTGTATTAATTATCTTCAATTAATTTATATTCTTTCAATTACTCAATCAATTATGAAAAGAGTATTTTTTTTTATTTCGAAAAAAAAATATTAGACACAATAATAAACAATATTCAATTGTCTCAGTCTTATTATATTCAAAACTAGAGTTTTCATTGTTAAACTAACTGCAGTGAAGTTTACTTTCAATTACATTCAAAATTTTCTTATACGTATTCATTTCTATGTATATGTACAATCTCTAGATTTCTAATTGAATAGTCAACTACAAACTTTTATGATTCATAGATTTTTTTTTTCACAATGTTAAAAATTTGCGACATGCTTCATTTGTGAATTATTTCGTTCTCTTTACTATTTCTTCATGCTCAGATATGGATCCATTACTGACAATGTCATAATCATACAAGTATTCGAATGTGCTTGTATAACTATGATTATGATTAGATTATTGTGTCCATAGATTGAATAGCCAATCATACTAAAAGCTTACACTCTTCTAGAAGTAATGCAATTGTCACAAACAAGAAGAATGTAAAAGCATACAATTTAATCTGTGTTAATACAAGTAGAAAATTTTCCACTTGAAACATCATATATACGTCCGATGGCCTTCTTTTGCACTTTTTTAAAAAACAATGTTGAATTATGCGGCAAATTGTGACGTTGATATTTATGCAGTTTTTTTCTTCATGTTTACCATTGCTTTCTTTCATTCGATAATCTGCGCAGTGTTTTCTTGCTGCAAGTAATAATACAATTGTAAAAGAAAAAAAAAGCTCGAACAAATGATATACACATCGAGTAGTCTAGGATAAATTAATGATTTTTTAGATATGTTTAGTCATCATAATATATTTTGATTTTCTTCTGAAAAAAAAATATACCGTGAAATTATCTACAAAATAGTATCAAACACAAATTTCTACATCTTAGAACAGAGAGTTTTACATGATTAAAAAAAACAAAGACAAAAACTTGAAAAACATCTTATCTTCTAAATGACAGATAATCCATTAAGAACATGTTACGCTCAGCATACTCTTGATATCTTTGTCTGATTTTTTATTTATTCTTCAAAATAGAGAACTGGACAAAGTCTTCTCTTCCACCACTCATACTCATATTCCACACTCTCTCTCACAACCAAAAACATCTCACACACTCGTACTCTAAACTACATTAGCAAAATTATCAACTATGTAAATGTTTAAGAAGAAAAAAGAGTTCACACAAGTGCGCTCGCGACATTGAAAATGGTAAACAAAACAGTTTCTCTTTCTACCTGTATAAAAGCACAAATGAAAGTTGACTATAGGTGTATGTCATGGAAAACGAAGTAGCACAAGACGAAGAAGTTGACTATGCAGATATTTTTTGCCCAATCACACGAGAAATTTATCGTGATCCAGTTAGAGCGGCCGATGGTTTTGTTTATGAACGTGATGCTATCACAAAATGGATCCTTCAAACAGGCACAAGTCCATTTACTCGACAACCATTAAAAATTGATGAACTAAAACCAGATAATAAACGTAGGCTTCTCGTTCATCGTCGACGACAATTAACAGTCGGCTATGATGCATGTAACAGCACCATTTCTCTATCATCTCTCCGACAAGTACCAACACCTGTTGACCAAGTAGACCCAATAACAACATCCGATCGTACATATAGAGATAGAGTGAAATTCAAAAAACACATCTTTCAAATCGTATTGCTTATAATTGCTGTCAGTATTACTATTGGCCCAATACTTGGAATGGCTGTAGGTATGTAGCCATCTGGCTGTGGATGTGGGCTTGGGTGTGGATATCAGTCGTTCATGTATCCGCATCCAGACCCACACAACCACACCCATACGTGAGCAAAAATAGTTTTCGAATTTCGAATTGAAACTTTGCCTAGAGAAAAGCTATAGTGAAAATAGTTCAGTGTGAAAGTTTCAGATATCTTCGTTATTTCTATTTTAAGATGTAACTATGGTAAAAGTGTATCTACTCACATACAGCCATACCCATCTCACATACGTTCTAGACTCATCAGAACACTAGCTAGGAGGCGCCAGATTTGTTGACTTATCCGGGGGCGTTCTTTTTTTAGCCCTTATTACTTTTCAAAACAATCGACAACCCTAGTCAGTGGGCAAGAGAAAATCAAACTCTAAAATTTTTCGAGAATCGTAACATCCATTTGAAGGATAGAACACTCATGGATGATTTATTAACGACCACACCATTGTTTAGCGATGAAAGAGATCGAACGAGTTCGATTTCATCAATATTTCCTATGGACTAGTTATTATCACTCAATAGATGAAAACCTTGAGGTGGGAATTATTTCTGAGTGCCATTTTTGAGATGTATTTTCTCAAAGAAACCATCGTTCTGGTGTCTACATTCGCCCATTAAAATAGACAAACAAAAAAAATCTCACTATCATATTCAGTTGGAAAACAATCAGACTTTTTTGGTACTCGAATTAATTTTATTTTATTCAAGAACATGATTTATTAGTGAAATGCATTCATTTGAATCTAGTCAGTTCTAAATTAGGAAAGTGAACAGTATGGCCATTAAATAACCCTTAGTTAGTTATCGATGATCTGTTCCTTCTAATTCAAATAACTAACATATTTAGAGAATAAAACAATATGTGAATAGTTTGAATATGTCGTAATATAAACATGATTCTATACTTTTGTTCCAAGTGTTTTTAAGTTTTTCAATCGAGTGATAAAAAAAAATATAATCTAGCCCATAGATTTGTCATAATAGTTTTTTAATTTTAAGTTGCGTCTTACAAATTTCAATCAAAGATCTATAAATTTGAGTAAGAGAGAATACATTCTATTCCACGATATTGAACATTGCGGAATCAGTTCCATGCAATTTCGGGAACTCGAACATCATTCAACAAATTGGACATTTTCGACAAGAATCGCGTTGCCTCAGTTTCGGGAATTGAATCCATTCTAAACTAGTTGTGATTCCCAGGAATTCCGTCCAATTCCGCTTCGACTTAATTCCCGAAATGTCGTCACGGAATTATGTTCTACCCTCACCCTCATGTTGAGCTGTATGGTTATAGATTAATCTTTCAAATAGGTCAGCAATTCCGGAGCAGAACTTCGGAAATTAGGTCGAAGGGGAATTGGACGGAATTTCTAGGAATTCTCGAAACTGGTTCCCGATCGGAATCACTTCCCGAAATTCCAGAATGCTAGAATGTAGGTCACTACGGAATCAGACGGAATTCTTAGGAATCACGACTAGTTTAGAATGGACTCAATTTCCGGAATTGAGGGAACACGATCCTCGTCGAAAATGTCCAATTTGTTGAATGATGTTCGAGTTCCCGGAATTGCATGGAACTGATTCTGCGATGTTCAACATCGCGGAATAGGATGACTGCTTTTTTCGACAAACGTTGCGGAAAGTTTCTTTTTCCAGTATATGTCGTTGAAAGTTTGCTCCTATAATCCACCATCTAAAAAGTTTAATATTTTTAAAGAAATAGTCAACATTGAAACTCGCAGATCTCTATCGTATTGCTACTATGAAAAGTGATTCAAAATAAATCCATATGTCTTCTTTTTTTACTACAGGATGAGAATCTATTGATTATCTTTTTTTTTTATATAGTGGTATGCCAAAAGAATTGAATTCACCATTTATATTTGATGAATCAATCCTTTTTTTTTGTTTTATGTGAATATCGTAGTATTACTTGCGTATAAAGAACTTCGAGTAAATCTAATAAACATAAACAGTCGAATTTTAACATCTAACCACTTACGAAACGATCTGATCATTTTCTATCATAAGTTCTACTCAAACATGAGCTTATTCTATTGGGTAAAAGACAATTTGATTATGATTGTTTGGAATTATTCTTGCCAAATCGTATAGAAACTCATTTTTTTGAAAAATCGATTATTCAGTATATAGATAAGAGCATCGCTGGAGATTTAAACGTATTTTTAGTATGTTAATTTAAATTTTTGTCGAATCACTTTTTTTTCAGGACTTACGTCAGAGACTTCTATTGATGTTATCTCTGTCTACACAAGTGAAATAAATGCTACAAGTCCAATCTTCACTCCTATTGGATTGACCACAAATTATCCTTACGAAGAAAATCAAATCAACGTATCGAAAAGTGGTTCATATATCTTTACAAGTAGCAGTAGTTTTGGTATTGATGCTTATTTGTATAAGAATAATTTCAATCCTATGAATTCTTATGATAATCTATTGAACTTCCATTATAATAGTAGTGGAAGAGCACAGTTTCAATTTAAAATTTATCTTTTATCAGGCCATTACGTTTTGGTGGTTGCTACTATCATTAATACTACTGGACCATTCTCAATCATCGTAACTGGAGACGAAAATGTTACTTTTTGATAAATCATGTTTGCAAATGAGTGCTATGTTTTCAGTTTCCAAATCGGTATTTATGTTTTAGCCACCAATTTAAATAAAAGATTCTAATACATTTTAATCAGATTGACTGATGATATCTCACTACACTTATTATTTCATTCGCAGTCACTTCAAGTTAATTGATGTACCTATCAAAGTCATGTAAGATGATTGCATTTTAATATACTGTATAAATATTCGAGAGATATATTCGAAAAGTCTTCATGAATCTTTCCGAGTATGGAATCGATTTTTGAAACTATTGAAAGCGTTCAAACGTTTTTCTAACAGTAATAGTTCTGAAGATTCTTCAGGAAGATTACAAAAATCATACTACTTACAAAAGCTTAAAGATTTCAGACGTTTCCAAAATCGATTTACAACTTCGAAAAATTTTTCAAACAATTTCGAAAATCTCTCCAACTTAAAAATGTGCGAAAAACATTTTATTGAATTTCATACAATACGGAGTACATTTTTATAGTATGCAATTTCTACATAGGCTCCGCTTGTTAAATATGGGACCGTTCTGAGAAAATATATGCGCCAATTAAGACAAAAAACTAAATGAAATTATAATAAAAAATTTCTGAGTATTAAAATTCTAGTGATTGACATCATATTAATCTATTCATTATACATAAATCATGCTCGTTTTCTAATCAAGTAGAGAAAAAAGCGTTTAGCACACTTTTAATATATCGTAAAGAATAACGTATTGGGAATATCTAAAAAGGGGTTTCGATAGATCTCCAAGCAGGTTATAAGACTTAGATGTGGCCATTTTTTTAAGCATGAATATTTTATTTTTTATTAGACAAAAACCTTTTCTTCAGCGGAAAAAAAGGTTTAGCACATTTTTAGTCTTTAGCTGATTTTTTCATTATTTTACGATAGTTGAAAATTGTTTTATATATATATATCATTCAGTGCAGAATTTAACGAGGTACATTTTAGTAAAAAATACTTATTCTTATGTTGGTATATTAATTGATTATTAATAATTAGTGGCTAATCAATATAAATTGGATTTATCTTCAACTTCTATGTATGCCATATGAAAGAGTAATCAAAATTGAACAAAAATGTATTCTATTTTATTTTAAAATGGATCATGTTGGTAAGATTTTCAGAGCATATACACTTTAAATTAGACATAGTATTCATCATTCTTAATTAATTCAACTAACAAAAGAAACTTTAAATTTACAAAAGCTGATGAGATTTGAAGAGGCACGTTTGCTCTTTCAAATTATGCAATACAAAAACAACAGAAGAACAGATACAAGTTATAAGTTAAACTACTTGTTTATGGTAAATGCGATGAAAAGTTTAAATAGTAAACTGCAGTAGAAGTTGTGACATCTCGTTTGAAAGAGCAAAGGCGCCTCTTCAAATCCTACTAGCTTTTGTAAAGTTAAAGTTTCTTTTGATAGATGAATTAATCAAAATTAATGAACACTATGTCTATTTAAAAGTGTATATGACATAAAAATCTTGCCAGAATGATCTATTTTGAAATGATATTTATACAACTGAATGATATATAAAACAATTTTCAAATATCATAAAATAATGAATACATCCGTTAAAGTCTAAAAATGTACTCAACTTTTTTCCCCAACTTTATTTTAGAATTCATTTATTCATTGTTATTTTAGATCAGTAAGCATTATTTTTAGTACGTTATTGTTCTTCGACGATTCCATTTAATCGACCTACTATCATACTTTCGGTGAGTTTCGATCGTTTTATTTAAAACCATGCTAAGTATATCTATACTATTAAAATTCTTCATGAATACTATTTTCAGAAGAATTTTCAAATTTTATTAATAATTCAATGAATCCAACTAGATTTCATTTTTCATATGAGAAAACATAAATTTTTTCAATTTCTTTAACTAATCAACGCATGCGATCGTAAAACACATCAAAACAGTTTCTAACATATAAGGAATAATCTGTGGTTCAGTAAGTTTATCATCATGTACAATAGAAAAGTAAAAAAAAAAAGAAATAATGTGAAAAATTGAATATATATTCAAACTAGAGGTTTTCAACTGCGACAAACCTTATTGAATCTTACTTGTATGGTTTTACTCAAGTCATGTTTCATACATGTCAAACTTGAAGGTCGAAGTCAACCATTCAATTATTGGTGACACAAGAACTGGGGCACACTCGAGAAGAAACTAATGTCTAATTTCATTTTTATTTCATAACTCGAAACTGGCAACATTAATATTTGTCAGAGAGAAGGTGCTTTTTCTCTCCTAACTGACCTTTCATTTCAGCTTTGCAGCGTGAAGGTACGAAGCACCCTCCGAAGAACCACGACCGATACGCGTCTCTGTATGCACCAGACGCCTGCTGCAGCACTCCAAGTGAATACTGAATCTTGCAGTTGAATAGTTCAATAATTGAATTCAAGTTTCAGGTTTGATATTACTGCCATTTAATTCTATAGAGATTGTAGTGCAAGCGTTCTTCATATAAATTGAGCCATTACATAAAGAAATAATCGATAGGAACCGAAAGGATAAAATAGATTTCATTCACTTGCTTGATATGATGCTTATAAGATATTTGTCTTTTTCGTTTAGCCTGCTTCTTCATGAATCTCTGTGTGGAATTTTATCATTATTTAGTTATATTATGCACCGTTCCACTGCTTATCATATTTTTTACCGTCGGCATTGTTGGTACCATTCAATATGTTAAGGCTCAAAAAAATGTTGATGAGTATAATACAAGAACGAGATGTCTGTTACTCAATGAAAGTTTTGTAGAAAATTGTTATGAAGGTAATTTGATTTTTCACTGATTTCAATGTCGCTGAATGAATTCATAACCAAAAACGAATCTGGATTAAAGATAATTCGTTATGTATGTATAATCTTTTATTATAATTAATTAGTTTATTACCAAATCAGTGGCATTCATACTTATACTCGAGTTGAGATGATTATTATCTTAGTTGGTAAACAATAGATTTGCTAATAAACTAATCGCTCCTAATTTTTTTTTGATAAGTAAAATTACTTAACACTCGATTAATTTAGTTTTTCTAAGGAATAAAAATATTTAGTAAGATTATCAATTGAATCTATAAAATAAATTAGATAAGGAAAAATTTATTATGAATAACTAAATGTAAATGGTATAAAAACCTAATATAAAGAATATGTATCCTATTATTTCCCTGTATGAAATCTATTTCAATTTGCAACTAATGATATTATAGTGTGAGTCATTAATGTTTTATTTTCTTTCATTCGTCTTTTCAACTGTCATAGAGTTCACAAGTACAGCATACATATAAATGGTCCTCTTTTATTTTTTGTCTCAATATAAGACATTTTTTTCAAACGTTTGTTTCTGTTGATTTAAATCAGATTTTTTCTCCTCGCTCATGTTTCTTTCCAAGTACCTTTGATTTTTCCGTATGTACATATAATTGGGATTCGACAAATAAAGACGTACATTGTCCATCAAATAAATCAATGTTCACTTAAATAGAGACTCAACAATATGAAAGTTCATCACAATCTGATAACTCAATGAAAATAGACCCAGAAGCACAAATATCAATCAAACAAGAAAAACAATGGATTCAATACTATTCTAACACAGATCAAGATGGCAGTAAGAGTTCATTATCGCTGTAATCAAGTTAAATTTCATAATTAGTCATATGATGCAATGATCTATCTATATAATCAACATAATATTAGCAAAATAATAATTCTTTTATGTGAAAGCCCAACACAATCACATCAATATTTTAAAGATCTTCAATTTTGTACATGGGAAGTAATGCGTTAGAATGGAAAAATAAACTTTTCAATTGTTCCCCATGGGAAAAATTTCGTTACTTTTAAATGCTGCGAAACGCATTAATGCTGACCGGTTTAACGCGTTTCGCAGCTGCTAAATCGGTTAAAAACGCCGCGAGACGATATACTTTTCGTTTTCATCCGAGAATTGTGGCTCCGAAACGCGTTTTGAGTAAGTGGAAAAAAGGGTTGTATACGTTTCTTATCACGGGAAACGCTGCGAACGCGTTAAATCGGCCAGCATTAACGCGTTTCGCAGTGAATATATCTTAATTTTTTATCCTATGGGTCAAGTTTCTTTAAAGAATAGATTTGTAAACACATTGTTGGTATGAAAATTAGGTTCAAATTTTTCAAATCATCTCCAGTAGTGAATGATATATCTTTTGATGAAAAACGAAAGTGAACACAACTACGAAATGTGGTAAAAACTTTATTAATGCAATAACTGAATAATTCGATTTTTTTGCTGGTATATTTACGGTTTTTTATACTTAACAAAATTTGTTAATTTATGAAGACATACATGAAATTTCGCTTAGGAAATCAATCCTTTCACCTAGACTTTAAATAAGATATTCAGCAAAAATTTTTACATTAAATTATTTAGAAAAAGAATAATTTTTTGCTTACCATTTAATAAAAAGATTTGTGATATTTAAATCAGAGCCTAAACTAATCATATATATAATGAATCATATTTAATCCGATCTCGTTTTTTGGTTATGAATTCATTCGACCAAAAACATCGTCAGCAAAAAAATTAGCTAAAATGTCTCATTTCTATAGGAAGTAATTCGAACTCTAGCTCTGGTTCTCGTGCTGGTAGTTATAAAGTATGTTCTTTCGATGAGTACTTTCTTGTTAATTATCCAGTATATGATGGAACATGGTTGAACAGCACCATTCGTATTGAAAGTGTTATCCAACAGCGTAAATTTGAGGTATGATATACTACAATATTTAGTTAATGAAAATCTTTCATTTAGTTGTTCATTGTGTTCGAAATCAGGCAATGACGCAAAGATTAAGCGCCCATCAAGATGTTATTCATTCGCGTTTGAGTTCTTAAATAGAAAATAGCATCGT